TGAGGACGAAGCCAAGAACCCACAGTGGGTGGCAGACCCTCGACCGGAAAGCCTGCATCAGGGCCCATGGTTACCACTGGTTTCTTTCCTGTTACCTGCGAGTCTGTGTTTTGTTTTGTTTTGTTTGTTCATTTTGCTGTTTGTGTTTTAGATTCGACACATAAGCGAAACCGCACAGTATTTGTCTTTCTTCTGTTTGATTTCCCTTAGCTTAATATTTTCTAGGTCCATCCAGGTTCGCACAAATGGCCAGCTTTTATTTCATTTTATTTTTGTGGCTAAGTATTCCATTGTATATACACAGCTCATCTTTATCTATTTATCTATTGATGGATATCTAGGTTATTTCCTTATCTTGGCTATTGTAAATAGTACAGCAATGAACGCAAGGGTGCACATATCTGTTTGAATGAATGCTTTCACTTTCTTTGATAAATACCCATAAGTGGAATTGCCAAATTGTATAATAGTTCTATTTTTTTTTGAAGAATCTCCATACTGTTTTCCATAGTGGATGCACCAATTTACATTCCCACGGACAATGCAGGAGGGTTCCCCTTCTTCACACCCTTAGCAACCCTTGCGATTTTTTGCCTTCTTGACCATAGCCATTCTGACAGGAGTGCGGTGGTATCTCACTGTGGTTCCGAGTTGCATTTTCCCGGTGGTCAGTGATGCTGAGCATCTTTTCCTGTGCGTGTTGGCCATCTGTGTGTCTTCTTTGCAAAAATGCCCATTCAAGCCCACTGTCCATTTTTAAATCAGGTTGTTTGTTTATTTCTTTATATGTTAACTTGTGAGAATGATTTATAAATTTTGGACATTAACCCCTCATCAGAGGTATGATTTGCAAATATCTTCTCCTGTTTGGGAGTGTGCTTTTCTGTTTTATTGGTGGTTTCCTATGCAAAAACTTTTTAGTTTGATGTAGTCTCATTTGCTTATTTTTGCTTTTGTTATCCTAGCCTGAGGAAACTGGTCTGGGAAAGTATTACTAAGACTGATATTTACTGCTTAAGTTTTCTTCTAGAAGTTTTATGGTTTCAAGTTACTTTTGTTTTATATTACAATTTTAACTACAATTTAATTAAATAAACAGTTAATTGACACAATGTGTCGAGCATATTTTTATATGCTAATTTGCCTTCAATGTGTGTTGTTTTGTGAGATCATTATTTAAGATTTTATTTATTTTTTAGAGATAGGGGAAGGGAGGGAGAAAAAGAGGGAGAGAAACATCCATGTGTGAGAGAGATACATCGATTGGCTCCCATCACACACCGCCTACCGGTGACCTGGCCTACAACCCAGGCATGTGCCCTGCCTGGGAATTCAACTGGTAACCTTTTGATCGAAGGCCAGCCCACAAGCCATTGAACCACTCAGCCAGGACTGAGATTTTTTTTTAATTTTTTAAAAATACATTTTATTGATTATGCTATTATAGTTGTCCCATTTCCCCCTTCATTCCCCTCCACCCTGCACACCCTCTCCTACCCACATTCCCCCTTTTAGTTCATGTCCATGTGTCATAAGTTCTTTAGCTTCTACATTTCCCATACTATTCTTGCCCTCCCCCTGTCTATTTTCTACCTACCTTCTATGCTACTTATTCTCTGTACCTTTCCCCCCTCTCCTCCTCCTACTCCCCTGTTGCTAACCCTCCATGTGATCTTCATTTCTGTCGTTCTGTTCCTGTTCTAGTTGTTTGATTAGTTTGTTTTTCTTTTTGTTTTAGGCATGGTTGTTAATAATTGTGAGTTTGCTGTCATTTTACTATACATGTTTATCTTCTTTTTCTTAGATAAGTCCCTTTAACATTTCATAAAACAAGGACTTGATGATGATGAACTCCTTTAACTTGGCCTTATCTGAGAAGCACTTTATCTGCCCTTCCATTCTAAATGACAGCTTTGCTGGATAGAGCAATCTTGGATGAAAGTGCTTGCCTTTCATGACTTGGAATACTTCTTTCCAGCCTCTTCTTGACTGTAAGGTCTCTTTTGAGAAATCAGCTGACAGTCTGATGGGAACTCCTTTGTAGGTTACTGTCTCCTTATCTCTTGCTGCTTCTAGGATTCTCTCCATTTCTATCTTGGCTAATGTAATTATGATGTGCCTTGGTGTGTTCCTCCTTGGGTCCAACTTCTTTGGGACTCTCTGAGCTTCCTGGACTTCCTAAAAGTCTATTTCCATTGCCATAAAGGGGAAGTTCTGCTTTATTATTTGTTCAAATAACTTTTCCACTTGTTGCTCTTCCTCTTCCCCTTCTGGTATCTCTATAATTCAGATGTTGGAATGTTTAAACATGTCCTGGCGGTTCCTAAGCCTCTCCTCATTTTTTTTTTTGAGTTCTTGTTTCTTCATTCTTTTCTGTTTGGTTGTTTTTTCCTTCCTTCTGGTCCACTCCATTGATTTGAGTCCCAGTTTCCTTCCCATCATTATTGGTTCCCTGTATATTTTCCTTCATTTCACTTAGCATAGCCTTCATTTTTCCATCTAAGTTGTGACCAAATTCAACCAATTCTGTAAGCAACCTGATCACCAGTGCTTTGAACTATGCATCTGATAGGTTGGCTATCTCTTGGTTGCTTAGTTGTATTTGCTCTGAGCTTTGATCTGTTCTTCCATTTGGGCCTCTTTTTTTTGTTCTTCAATCGGTGCTTTGAGGCTTTATTTTCCAGCACTGGGACCCTGGGTTGTGTGGTCTGTCTCGCTCCCCAGTTTTGCTAGGTTTATCTGTGTACAAATGTGGGACTGCCTGGTCAGCTATCCACCCTGCTCGCAGTGCCTTGCTTCACAATCACTGCCTCGCTGGGTCTCGAGCCCAGAGTCCGCCTATTGCCATCTTGCGTGCCTGGGGTGCCTTGCGCACCTGGTGTAGGCTTCCACTGTTTGTGCTGCAACCTCTCTCTGCCTGGCTGTCCGACTACTACACCCAGCTTACCGGTCTGGATGTACGTATATATTTTAACTCCTTGGTTGTTGGACTTCCACATGGTTTGATTTTCAGTTCTGGTTTTTATTTTGTTTCTAAATTGTTGTCCTTATTCTGGTTGTATGAGGAGGCACAGAGTGTCTACCTATGCCTCCATCTTCAACGGAAGTCTTTTTTTTAACTTTAAGGGTAAAAGATGCTTTAGTAGATTTTTAACCATAGGCGGGTTTCTCCAGGGGAGGTGTTACTATATAAGCACTTGGCAGTGCAAACTCAGAGAAGAAATTAGCAACAAAGGTTCAAACTAAGGTAAATGTTAGTAATCATTCTTGGGGAAGAAGGATATAAGTGGGCAGGGACACGTTTATGTCTTTGGGAAACAGGCAAAAGAAAGGCCAATGTTTCAAAGGTCTGAAATAAGAGGAAAATTTTTTTATCTTTGCCTGTCCCAGATGACAGAAAACCTGAAGGCATTAGTGGCTTCCTATGGCTCTGGCTGAGGGAACTGTGTTTTAAAACGTATTTGGGGTAAGTACTGAAATGAAATGAATATCTTTAAAAATGGCTAACTGGCTTAGATTTCAAATTCGAGAAAGGTGGCATGGTGAATACAGGTGTCTGAATGTTCAGCAATCAAATGCCTTGAAAAAATAATAGATCTAGATAGACATTGCCTACAGTGTGTACCTCAATTTGAGAAAAATTATCATTTTTTAAAAATTATCATTTTTTATTTATTTATTTTTAGACAGAGGGGAAGGGAAGGAGCAAGAGAGGGAGAGAGACATCACTGTGTGGTTGCCTCTCACACGCCCTGTACTGGAGGCCTGGCCTCCAGCCCAGGCATGTGCCCTGACTGGGAATCCAACCAGCGACCCTTTGGTTCGCAGGCTCACGCTCAATCTACTGAGCTACACCAGCCAGGGCAAAATGATCATTTTTAATATTTTATTGAATTTATTGGGGTTACATTGGTCAATGAATCACATAGGTTTCAGTACATCATCTGCATGTTGCATTGTGTGCTTACCGTCCAAAATCTAGTCTTTCATCATTATTTACCCCCACTTACCCTCTTCTTCTTGCCCCCTCCCTTCCCTCTGGTAATCACCATACTGTTGTCTGTGTCCATGAGCTTTTTTTGCTTAATCTCTTCACCTGTTTCACCCAATCCACTACCAGTCTCCCCCTGACCGATGTCAGTCAGTTCTTTGTGTCTATGAGTCTGTTTCTCTTTCATTTCTATATTGTGTTCATTAGGTTCCACATATAAGTGCAATCACATGGCACCAGTTTTTCTCCTACTGGCTTCTTTCACATAACATAATACCCTCCAGGTCCGTCCACGCTGTTGCAAAAGATAAGTCTGGCTGAGTGGTATTTTATTGTGTAAATGTCCCACAGCTGTTTTATCCACTCATCTACTGATGGGTACTGAGGCTACTTCCAAATCTTGGCTATTTTAAATAACGCTGCAATGAACATAGGGGTGCTTATGTTCTTTGGAATCAGTGCGTTGGGTTTCTTTGGATAAATCCCCAGAAGTGGAATCACTGGGTCATAAGGCAGTTCCACTTTTAATTTTTTGAGGTAACCCCGTACTGTTTCCCACAGTGGCTGCACCGTCTACATTCCCACCAACGGTGCCTGAGAGCTCCCTTTTCTCCACATTTTCGCCGATATTTGTCATTTGTGGAATTATTAAGAATAGCCATTCTGACAGGTATGAGGTGGTTTCTTGTTGTGGTTTTAATTTGCATTTCTCCAATGATTAGTGACATTGAGCATCTTTCCATATGTCTGTTGGCCATCTGTATGTCCTCAAGTCCAAAGTCTCGTCTAGATATCACCTACAATAAAACAGGGATGGGTGAGACTTGAGCTGTGATTCATTTTGGAATTTGGGGAGAGGGGCGAAAACATTTCATCTGTAACAAAGCTCTAGGACTTCAACATAGGAATCAGGGGTTGGAGGACACACTCAGTCGTATTCTTTAAATTAAAACACTTTTAAGGTATGCATGTCTCTTAGGTGCCTGTGCAACCAGGTCCCCCTGCCTTGATGGATTATACGCTCGAGCCCAATGTGACAGTAATTGACTACTACTACCCTGACAGCCTCTCAAGCCTCTGAGATGTGGAAATTACTCAGACAGAGGGCAGGTTGCTTCTTGCTGTCTTTTACTGCCTCCTGTTTGTACTTGGCCTTCTCGGGAACAGCCTAGTCATCCTGGTCCTTGTTGTCTGCAAGAAGCTGAAGAGCATCACAGACATATACCTCTTGAACCTGGCGCTGTCGGACCTGCTTTTTGTCTTCTCCTTCCCCTTTCTGACGCACTATCACCACCACCAGTGGGTGTTTGGGACTGTCATGTGTAAGGTGGTCTCTGGCTTTTATTACATTAGCTTCTTCAGCAGCATGTTTTTTTATACCCTCATGAGTGTGGACAGGTACCTGGCCATTGTCCACGCCGTGTATGCCATGAGGGTGAGGACAGCTAGGATGGGCACGGCCCTGACCCTGGTGGTGTGGCTGACCGCCGGCATGGCCACCAGCCCACTGGTGGTATTTTACCAAGTGTCCTCTGAAGATGGCGTCCTAGAGTGTTACTCATATTACGATCAACAGACTGTAAAGTGGAAGCTCTTCATCCACTTTGAAATGAACTTCTTAGGCCTGTTGATCCCATTCACCATCCTCCTGTTCTGCTACATTAGCATCCTGCACCAGCTGAAGAATTGCCAAAACCAAAACAAGGCCAAGGCCATCAAGTTGGTGCTCATCGTGGTCATTGTATCATTAGTCTTCTGGGTCCCCTTCAATGTGGTCCTCTTCCTCACTTCCCTGCATGACCTGCACGTCCTGGATGGGTGTGTCCTGAACCAGCAGCTGACGTACGCCACCTCTGTCACGGAAATCATTTCCTTCACTCACTGCTGTGTCAACCCCATTATCTATGCTTTCATGGGCGAGAAGTTCAAGAAACACCTCTCGGAAATGTTTCAGAAAATTTGCAACCACATGCTCCTCTACGTAAGAACAATCCCCAAGGAACACAGGGAGAAGTCCTTACCTTCTCAGCACTCCTTCCGCTCCTCCAGCATGGACTACATTCTGTGAGCACACGGCCCCTGGACTGGCCGCCGCTTTCGCCTCCAGGCCTCCTCCAGAGACAGACGGGGTGTGTGCTGCGCTCTGAGTATCCCTTCACTCTCAGAAACATGGTTCCGGATGCAAGATATAGTTCATATCAAATGCAGTCCTACAGCTGCAAGTCAGTTTTCTCCACTTCCAGAGATTTTGTGGAAATAGTGAATATATTATGCCATTAAACATAATGTTTGTTTTGTTTTTTTTCCCTAGTTTTCCTTAGTGTCTTTATCATATATGAATTTAACTCTTATCCAACTCTATTTTTCTTATCACTCAAAGCGATCATATAGTTTTCTCCATTATTCTGTTAATGTGGTGAACCATATTGATTGATTCTTAGCCTAAATCAACCTGTATTTTCCCTGGGGGAAAAATGACCTGTTGGTGTGATCATTTAAAAAAAAATCACCAAATTCTCTGTGATTTTTGTACCTATGTTGACAAGAGATATTGTCCTGAAATTTCTTCTTACAATGCCATGTTAGGTTTGGCCCCCAAAAGTGTGTTGGGAAGTACTCTCTTTTCTGTGATTCTCTGAACGAGTTTTTATAAAAAATTGGTATTATTTCTTCCTTGGATGTTTGGTGAAAATCATTAGTGAAGCTGTCTGGGGATTCTCTCTGGGAGATTTCAAACTATGCATTCAGTTTCTTTGGCAGGTAGAGATGATTCAGATTTTCTATCTTTGCTTGTCTCAGTTTTTGAAAGTTGTTATTTTTAAGAATTTTTCCCACTTTATCTAAATTGTCAAATGTATCCGTCTACAATTCCTCCTAATGTCCTCACATAGTCTGTTTTAATGCAGAAGGATCTGAAGTCATTTCCTTTTTCCTGATTGGTCGTTTGTGTTTTTTCTGCTTTTTGGATCAGTTTCATGGGGTTTATTACTTTTACTCATCCTTTCAACGAATCAGCTTTTGGCTTTGTTGAGTTTCTGGGTTTTTTTGTCTTTTCATTAATTTCTGCTCCTATCTTTATCTTACCTGTTTTCTTTGGGTTTCATTTACTCTTTTATTCTAGCTTCTTGAATCTTAGATTATTGATCGTCAGCAACAAACAAATAGAAAAAACCTCTGCAACGGGGCCTAAACATCCTTGCAGAGCCAGCCTCGTGCATCTTCCTCATCCCTCCTCCCCCTACTGTCCCATCCCGGCCTCCATGGCCACCTTCGAACCCTGGGCATTGGTCTCTGTTCTGTGCTCAAATGGTTCTCCTCCCAATTTTCACATGTATTTCTACTTTCCCCCCTGCCCTCTAGATATCTGAGGGTTAGCACTTTCACTTATCCACATCTTGTAGCTTTATTTTATATTTTATACATGTATTCAGTGTGTTCCCAACTTCAACTGTTATATCTTTTCACACTGGCACAGTGAAGCCGTCAGTCAGCACTTGCAGAGCTGAAATGATGTGGGCGGGAGGGATACAGGGACAGGGCAGGGGGACTTTCACATTTTTAGACACTTACTCTGAACTGGACTCTTAACAACTATTTTCTCATTTATCTTCAAAAACTCTTTTTTTTTTTAAGAGAGGGGAAGGGAAGGAGAGAAAGGGAGAGCTACATCAGCCAATTGGCTCTCACACATACCCTGACCGAGGATCAAACCTGCAACCTAGGCATGTGCCCTGACTAGGAATCAAACCCATGACATTTCGGTTTACAGGACAACATTCCAACCCACAGAGCCACAGTGGGCGGGGCCAAAAAGGGCATGCAGATGACTAATGTTAACCTAAGAGGCTGCCAAACTGGGATTCCAGAGCGCCAAGTCTCAAAGCGGTGGGAGCCCCATCCCGTCTGCTGCATCAGCCAGCGAGTCCCCGGTCTTCTCACGAGTGGCCCCTGCTCCCCGGGCCGGGCTGCCCCGCTGCGTGCCCTGGAGCAGGCTCAGTTCTGGAAGACAAGACTGTGAGCGCAGCCAGCACCCCAGGAGGGGCTGCTGTGCTGGACACAGATGGATGGACCAGCTCTGTGGTTGACCTGTGACTTGGGGAGGGGTCTCCTCCAGCTGCTGCCAGACTGCTGCCTGCCAGCATTTCTCCGCTCTCTGACCCAGTGAAGACCATTTGGAGGAGCTGACACTTGTAAGGTGAGATGTACCTCTGGGTCTCGAACCATGCAGGGCCTTCCTGAGTGGACATCAAAAGGGATGCCTCGGAACGTCCTGCCATGGGTGCTGCTCCTCCAGTTACAAGCAGGCCTAAACCGAGCTCTCTGAGTGTCGAGGAAGTCATTTGTAATATAAGGATGATGACGACAGTGACATTCGCTGTGCCTGCTTCACAGAACTGCCTGGTGTCTAATATGCAACCCGCAAACCGCTTTGGACGCGTGGAGGTTGAACAGTACAACCATAATCCAAATGCATCATGCACCGCTTGTGCTAGCTGTGTGACTTCGAGTGGCTTTATTTTTGTCAAACTACAGATTAGTTTGTTGTGTTATGTTTTCACCACAGGATGAGGGAATTAAAATGTCTTATTGACGTTTTATTGGGAAAATAGTTTTGGGGCATGGATGATAACATTTTTTTAGTTGAGTTTATTGGAAAACACTTTCTCACAAACACTTTCAAATAGTGTTATAGTTCTGAGGTCAGTGTTTTTTTTCGTATGAAATAAGAGGGTTTTTGTGTTTTTTTTTTTTGAGTGATTGAAGCTTCCGAGATTAAATGACTGGGTTAAGGTAGCAGGACCCCAATAAAGGATAAAAGTAGCAACGACAAATTTCATTTCGTAGTCTTTTTTTAGCTGTGTGATTTTGGGCAACTTACTTTCAATGTTTGGTGCTTCTGTTTCCTTATAAGTTAAATGCATAACTTTGATTTAGGGGAAAGGGCTACACAGGATTTCGAAGCTGTGTTCTAACACCACCTGCCAGCCATTGGGTAGCTCACAGAGATTAAGAGTTGCCTCCATAGGACGGAAAGAATTCCTCGGGCTCAAGCTTTTGGCCAACCCAGTCTCAGCCAGACTCCCCAGGGTCCCTGAGGCTTGACCAGACTACAGGTTCCCATGTGCACATCTGGCTATTTCATCCTTCTGCTTCTAACTCTCCCGGATACAAGTCAAATTCTTTAACGTGGCGGCTCGGGCCCCACCCTTTCTCTCTGGCCTCCTCCCTTGCCTTCCTTCCCTCCCTCTAGGCGTTACCACTTGCACAATCTGGGAACCTGACATGCTCTTTCACCTCTGGTCATTTGCACAGGTTCTACCTGGTGAAAAGAGGCCTCACTGTTGAATAAAGGCATGAATTAATGAGATGGGGGGATGCCTGGGGGTCCCCCGTTTGCCGTCCCCCGGAGGCCCCAGGGCCCCTCCGAAGACCGCGCAGGCCACGGAGGAGATGCAGAAGCTGAACCTGGACATAAAGGAGACCCTGGACGTGCTGACCCCGTTGGAGCTGTGTAATTTCTGCGACCTCCTCAAAAAGGTGGAGGAGAAGCCGCGCGTGACCCAGGTGCAACTGGAGCTGGAGGGCGACAGCACCTTGAAGCTGGCCCGGCTCCTCGCCAAGCAGTACTATGCGTGGGCGCCGCGCGTCCTCACCAAGGTGCTGCAACAGCTGCCCCGCGCCGACCTGCTGCCGCGCTGGGAGAGCGGCCCCGCCGCCAACGGCCCCGGGTGAGCGCCGGGATTCCCGGGCTGGGAGCACTGGCGGGAGGTGGCCCTGGGGCTGCGGGTGGTTTGGCACCGCGGCTAAGAGATTTCCGTGCGGGTCCCTTGGGGCTGCTGGGTGCCCAGCGGAGCGGCTGGAAGGAGTCACGCGAGCAGGGAGGGTGCGAGCTTCGAGGGAACCATTGCCTCTGCGGCGGGAGGTGGGAGTCCCGGGGTACACGGGCCGGATAGTCACCATTTCCAGGCTAGTTGGCGACGTTGGCCAGTTGGAGAGGAGCCACAGGGATCTACTAGTTCGTTCTGGGGTGGGCTCAGAAGTCAGGTCGATTCAGCAGGCCTGAGATGCATTTTTAACAAATACCTGCAAGTGTTATGAAGTGGCAGGTTTTTAGATGATGCCGTGAGCAACCTGGGGTGGGAATCCCCTCTGCCATATCTCCAGTGGGCGTTTGGGGGAGAGGGTCCTCCCCTCCTCGCACGCCGGGAGCCCATTTGCCATAAATCTGGGGGGTGATGTGGCTTAGGATGAAGAAATGCAGTAGGTAACAGGTTGAGGAAGGTTCAGGCAGCGTACAGGCAGCCTTCAGATTCTCTTGGCCGGTTCCCACGTCTCTTACAGTTGGTTTGTTGGAATCAGAACTCTGGTCTACACGATTGCATTTGACTCTTAAGACTCGTAATTTACAAAACTTCTTTAACCTTTGTCTAGTAGTTTATTTGTTGAAGAAACCAGTCTATCTGTCCTGTAAAATGCCCCACTTTCTGGATTTTGATGGCTGGAACCCTGTGTCATCATTGACCCCTTCCCCCTGTGTCTTTAAACTGGTAGTCATGGCTATCTATAGGAACTTTCTGAGACTGGCCTAGGAGTCCAGGTCTGAGAAAGGTATTTGAAAGGATTGTAAACCAAGTCAGCCTCCCCTCCAGAACTGCCAGCAGAGGCCATCGGTGTTGTGTTCCTGGTCTGAACCCAGAAACCTCGCCATTAACCCCAGAAGAAACTCCTCGCTGGGTATATACACTTGACCCTTGCACAGCACGGGTTGGAACTGCGCGGGTCCACCCACAAGGGCGTTTTCAGTTGACCAGGGCAGTTCCAGCCAGCGTTGTTCGAGGGTCCGCGTGGCTGGCTGTACTTACAGGCGGGTTTTCCGCCGCACAGAGGGTGGCTGCCCCTGACCCCCTGGCTGTTCAGTGGGTCAGCTGCATAGGGGTATTTGGCTCTCCGAGTGTGGTTTGGTCTGAGTCCTGTTTCTTGGCTTCACTGGAAAACAGGACCTTGACGACCTGAGCGGCCTCCGGAAGGCTTTCCTCATGTGCGTGAAGAAGACCAGGCCGGGGGCCGGTCGGGACGTCGAGCTGATGGAGCAGTGGCTCGGCCACTGCCTGTTTGAGCACATGCTGTGCATCGACCCCGGCAAAAAGGTAATGAACGAAAAATACAAATGAACCATAGTGGGTTCGATTTTATAACCGTCATTCCTCTTTTTTTGGAAAAAAAAAATGAGGTTTTAGTCCCTGCTGAGAGTCAGGACCTGCCGTGCAGGGACCTGAATGTCCTGATGAAATTCTTTATACTTTTGGAACCTGAAGTGCGTGATACCTCAGCTCCGAGTCCGGACAAGCAGGACCTCTTGAGCATTGGTTTTAGCTGGAGCTGTGCAATTGAAGAGGGAAAGGGATCTTAAGAAGGCATCCTAAGCAACGTGGGCAAGGAGGCCCAAGGATGACCAGAGTGGGCAAGGTCCAGGGTGTCTGGGAGGAGGGAAGACCAAGGAAACAGCTTTGAGAGGTCCGCAGGAGGCCAAGCCAGAGGGATTCCAGCAGTGGGAGCCCGTGGGCTTTGAGAGGTCCTTGTGGGGCGGACTTGGAACCATGCGATGGGTGGGTCGGGAGAGGGTCGTGGAGACACCTGGGCAGAATTGCTTTGTGACTTAACTAGATGACACAGAAAAAAAAAAGATTGATGAGCGGTGGGGGCAGGGTGAGAACTCCATTTGATCTCTCTGATCCTAGTTCAGTCATGGTCTTGACCTGCCCGTATTTTGGGACAAGGACCCAGGAAAGTCCTTCAGGATCCCAGGAGTCTCACTGCTCGTGCACATCAAGGAACAGTGCAGCGAAGGGCTGTGAGCGCAGTGTGGACCGCCAGGGGTGGGTCCTGTCTCTTACTGGTTGGGTGACCTTAGATGTGGTTCTCCGCTGAAGGTGACGTTGTCCCCCAGAGGACATTTGGCAATGTCGGGAGACACTTTTGGTTGTCACAACTGGATATGCTAATGGCATCCGGTGGGTAGAAGCAAAGAATTATCTGGCCCCCAACGTCACTAGTTCCATGGTTTTACAGACCCTGCCTTAGAGTCATTGACTGCTTAGAGTAATTGGCCACCTCCTGTGTTCCCAATTTGTTTTGCCCTTCAATTCTTTGTAATATGTCCTCTTATTTTACTTGAGTTAATTGAGTTACTTTCTTGTTTCTGCCATTGGGGTGGCGAGGGTGAGTTGTCAATATCTTGTAGGGTGGCTGGGAGGATGGAATGAGCTTCCAGGTGTAAAAGTTCTCAGAATAGTAGCTGGCTTGTAGTTAAGTGCTCAGTAAATTTCAAATTTTTTAAAAAAAATTATTTCAAAGCTAAGAACAGACTCCTTCATTTCCCCCTACCAAGGGTTGTACTAGAATCTCTTTCCCATTATATGATTTTTAATCAAGTCCCTTCCGTGTAGGTGACAGATATTGCTGATATTCTTCTGGTTTATTCTCTCAAAGATCCAGAAATGGCCTCTTTCTCTACATCCTGTTGACATTTATTTATAAATATTTAGTAAATCCCTGACAAAAGTGATTTTACGTTTCACTTAAAACATATTGTTTTAAGTTTCACTTTCTAAGTTGTTAGTTTAGTTGAACAGCTCCGTGTTCTTTGGCCTGTTCCAACTGGGTTTTCTTTTTCTTACACTAGTTATTTTCCTGAACATTATTTGTTTACAAAATGTAGTGCAACTATTTTTCTCCTACTCTGTTACTTGCCTTGTGACTTTTCATTGTCTTAAGTCATAGGGAAGTCTCTTCATTTTTGTGAGTAAACTGGTTAGTCTTCCTGTTTGTCAGCTCTTGGTTTTCGGGTTTTGATTAAACCCCATGCCTTCTCACTTTAAAAAAAATTCAGATGATTTTTCTGTGGTTTTTAAAAATAGTTGAAGGTTTACCTTCTGCCTATGATTTTACTTTTGTAAGAGTGTTGGTGTAGGGGGTCTAGCTCGATTTCCAAATGGAAAATCGGTCATCTCAACATTTATGGAATGCTCCATCCTTTCCCCACGTTAAAAATTCCGCTGTTATCATGAACTAAATTCCTATATCATAGTGCTTGAATAGATTTCGGGATTCTAAAATATTCCATTCATGTATTTGTTTATAGTTATGCCAGTATTTTCACTGTTTCCCCCGTCCCCTCCACGATTTTGTAGTGCCTTTTGGTATTTGCTAGGACCTAATGCCCACCCACTTTGTGTTTTTCTTCTGAATGTTCTTGGTATTCTTGAGAACGATCTGTTCTCTATGGCCTTGAGAATCGTCTGGTTCCGTTGACAGGCATCCTTTGGGATTTTGATTGACATGACATTGACCGGAGATTAATTTGGAGGGAATTAGCATGTTAGCAGTATGGAGTCATCTCAGAAGCTTTGGCATGTCATGGCTGGTGCATGTGGCCTCCTCGGCAGTTTTTTTGTGGTTTTTCTCATTTAGGCAATGTGTGTTCCTTGTTAGGCTTTTCCCCCCTCGGCTATTTTAGTTTTGTGGTGACCGCAAATAGGATCCCCGCTGTTCCATTATGTGGCTTAAGTGATTATTGCTGGGTATTTGGGAGAATGTCCCAGCTGAGAGGCTGATGATCTTGTAGAGACTTGAAGGATGTGAGGGAGTGAGCTCTGCAGACATTTGAGAGAATTGGTTTTGTAAAACAGGAATAACAGAACTCTGAGTATCAGCCCTGGTCTGGACAGACAGACTGCTGGGGTGGAATAAAGCTGTCATTCCCCTCTAAGGGCTGCTTTTTTTTCCCCTAAGATTTTATTTATTTATTTTTAGAGAGGGAAGGGAGGGAGAAAGAGAGAGAGAGAGAAACATGAATGTGCAGTTGCTGGGGGTCATGGCCTGCAACCCAGGCGTGTACTCTAACTGGGAATCGAACCTGCGATGCTTTGGTTCGCTGCAGCCCGTGCTCATTCCACTGAGCTATGCCAGCCAGGGCTAGAAGTCATTTTGTTTCTTCAAGGTAAGGACACATTAGAAGGGGCTAAACATGGGCGGGGTTTCTCTGGGTTTCTCCAAGGGAGGTGTTACTATATAAGCACTCAGCAGTATAGACTCGGAGAAGAGATTAGCAACAAAGATTCAAACTAAGGTAAGTGTCAGTAATCATTCTTGGGGAAGAAGGACATAAGTGGGCAGGGACACATTTATGTCCTTGGGAAACGGGCAAAGGAAAGGCCAATGTTTCAAAGGTCTGAAATAAGAGGAAAATTTTTTAATCTTTTCCTGTCCCAGATGACAGAAAACCTGAAGGCACTAGTGGCTTCCTGTGGCTCTGGCTGAGGGAACTGTGTTTTAAAACGTATTTGGGGCAAGTACTGAAATGAAATGAATATCTTTAAAAATGGCTAACTGGCTTAGATTTCAAATTCGAGAAAGGTGGCATGGTGAATACAGGTGTCTGAATGTTCAGCAATCAAATGCCTTGAATAATAATAGATCTAGATAGACATTGCCTACAGTGTGTACCTCAATTTGAGAAAAATTATCATTTTTTAAAAAGCTTTTATTTATTTATGTTTAGACGGAGGGGAAGGGAAGGAACAAGAGAGGGAGAGAGACATCACTGTGTAGTTGCCTCTCACACCCCCTGTACTGGAGGCCTAGCCTCCAGCCCAGGCATGTGCCCTGACTGGGAATCGAACCAGTGACCCTTTGGTTCGCAGGTTCACGCTCAATCTACTGAGCTACACCAGCCAGGGCAAAATGATCATTTTTAATATTTTATTGAATTTATTGGGGTTACATTGGTCGATGAATCACATAGGTTTCAGTACATCATCTGCATGTTGCATTGTGTGCTTACCGTCCAAAATCTAGTCTTTCATCATTATTTACCCCCACTTACCCTCTTCCTCTTGCCCCCCTCCCTTCCCTCTGGTAATCACCATACTGTTGTCTGTGTCCATGAGCTTTTTTTGCTTAATCTCTTCACCCGTTTCAGCCAATCCACTACCAGTCTCCCCCTGACCGATGTCAGTCAGTTCTTTGTGTCTATGAGTCTGTTTCTCTTTCATTTCTATATTGTGTTCATTAGGTTCCACATATAAGTGCAATCACATGGCACCGGTTTTTCTCCTACTGGCTTCTTTCACATAGCATAATACCCTCCAGGTCCGTCCACGCTGTTGCAAAAGATAAGTCTGGCTGAGTGGTATTTTATTGTGTAAATGTCCCACAGCTGTTTTATCCACTCATCTACTGATGGGTACTGAGGCTACTTCCAAATCTTGGCTATTTTAAATAACGCTGCAATGAACATAGGGGTGCTTATGTTCTTTGGAATCAGTGCGTTGGGTTTCTTTGGATAAATCCCCAGAAGTGGAATCACTGGGTCATAAGGCAGTTCCACTTTTAATTTTTTGAGGTAACCCCGTACTGTTTCCCACAGTGGCTGCACCGTCTACATTCCCACCAACAGTGCCTGAGAGCTCCCTTTTCTCCACATCCTCGCTGATATTTGTCATTTGTGGATTTATGAAGAATAGCCATTCTGACAGGTATGAGGTGGTTTCTTGTTGTGGTTTTAATTTGCATTTCTCTAATGATTAGTGACATTGAGCATCTTTCCATATGTCTGTTGGCCATCTGTATGTCCTCAAGTCCAAAGTCTCGTCTAGATATCACCTACAATAAAACAGGGATGGGTGAGACTTGAGCTATGATTCATTTTGGAATTTGGGGAGAGGGGCGAAAACATTTCATCTGTAACAAAGCTCTAGGACTTCAACATAGGAATCAGGGGTTGGAGGACACACTCAGTCGTATTCTTTAAATTAAAACATTTTTAAGGTATGCCTGTCTCTTAGGTGCCTGTGCAACCAGGTCCCCCTGCCTCGATGGATTATACGCTCGAGCCCAGTGTGACAGTAATTGACTACTACTACCCCGACAGCCTCTCAAGCCCCTGCGATGTGGAAATTACTCAGACAGAGGGCAGGTTGCTTCTTGCTGTCTTTTACTGCCTCCTGTTTGTATTTGGCTTTCTCGGGAACAGCCTAGTCATCCTGGTCCTTGTTTTCTGCAAGAAGCTGAAGAGCATCACAGACATATACCTCTTGAACCTGGCGCTGTCGGACCTGCTTTTTGTCTTCTCCTTCCCCTTTCTGACACACTATCACCTCCACCAGTGGGTGTTTGGGACTGTCATGTGTAAGGTGGTCTCTGGCTTTTATTACATTGGCTTCTTCAGCAGCATGTTTTTTATCACCCTCATGAGTGTGGACAGGTACCTGGCCATTGTCCACGCCGTGTATGCCATGAGGGTGAGGACAGCTAGGATGGGCACGGCCCTGACCCTGGTGGTGTGGCTGACCGCCGGCATGGCCACCAGCCCACTGGTGGTATTTTATCAAGTGTCCTCTGAAGATGGCGTCCTAGAGTGTTACTCATATTACGATCAACAGACTGTAAAGTGGAAGCTCTTCATCCACTTTGAAATGAACATCTTAGGCCTGTTGATCCCATTCACCATCCTCCTGTTCTGCTACATTAGCATCCTGCACCAGCTGAAGAATTGCCAAAACCAAAACAAGGCCAAGGCCATCAAGTTGGTGCTCATCGTGGTCATTGTATCATTAGTCTTCTGGGTCCCCTTCAATGTAGTCCTCTTCCTCACTTCCCTGCATGACCTGCACGTCCTGGATGGGTGTCTCATGAACCAGCGGCTGACGTACGCCACCTATGTCACGGAAATCATTTCCTTCGCTCACTGCTGTGTCAACCCCGTTATCTATGCTTTCATGGGCGAGAAGTTCAAGAAACACGTCTCGGAAATATTTCAGAAAATTTGCAACCACATGCTCCTCTACGTAAGAACAATCCCCAAGGAACACAGGGAGAAGTCCTTACCTTCTCAGCACTCCTTCCGCTCCTCCAGCATGGACTACATTCTGTGAGCACACGGCCCCTGGACTGGCCGCCGCTTTCGCCGCCAGGCCTCCTCCAGAGACAGACGGGGTGTGTGCTGCGCTCTGAGTATCCCTTCACTCTCAGAAAGACTCTTACACATACCCTGACCGAGGATCAAACCTGCAACCTAGGCATGTGCCCTGACTAGGATTCAAACCTGTGACATTTCGGTTTACAGGACAACATTCCAACCAACTGAGCCACAGCGGTCAGGGCCAAAAAGGCATGCAGACGATTACTGTTAACCTAAGAGGCTGCCAAACTGGGATTCCAGAGCGCCAAGTCTCAAAGCGGTGGGAGCCCCATCCTGTCTGCTGGATCAGCCAGCGAGTCCCCAGTCTTCTCACCAGTGCCCCCTGCTCCCCGGGCAGGGCTGCCCCGCTGCGTGGCCTGGAGCAGGCTCAGTTTTGGAAGACAAGACTGTGAGCGCAGCCAGCACCCCGGGAGGGGCCGCCGTGCTGGACGCAAGATATAGTTCATATCAAATGCAGTCCTACAGCTGCAAGTCAGTCTCCTCCACTTCCAGAGACTGTGGAAATAGTGAATATATTATGCCATTAAGCATAATATTTGTTTTTTTTCCAGTTTTCTGAGTGTCTTTATGATATATGAATTTAAATTTTATCCAACGCTTTTTTTTCTTATCACTTGAAGTGATCATATAGTTTCTCCATTATTCTGTTAATGTGGTGAACCACATTGATTGATTCTTAGCTTAAATCAACATGTATTTTCCCTGGGGGAAAAATGGCCTCTTGGTGTGATCATTTAAAAAAAAAATCACCAAATTCTGTGTGATTTTTGTACCTATGTTGACAAGAGATATTGTCCTGAAATTTCTTCTTCTTACAATGCCATGGTTAGGTTTGGCCTCCAAAAGTGTGTTGGGAAGTATTCCCTTTTCTGTGATTCTCTGAACGAGTTTTTATAAAAAATTGATATTATTTCTTCCTTGGATGTTTGGTGAAAATCATTAGTGAAGCTGTCTGGGGATTCTCTTTGGGAGATTTCACACTATGCATTCAGTTTCTTTGGCAGGTAGAGATGATTCAGATTTTCTATCTTTGCTTGTCTCAGTTTTTGAAAGTTGTTATTTTTAAGAATTTTTCCCACTTTATCTAAATTGTCAAACGTATCCGTCTACAATTCTTCCTAATGTCCTCACATAGTCTGTTTTAATGCAGAAGGATTTGAAGTCATTTCCTTTTTCCTGATTTTGGTCATTTGTGCTTTCTCTCCTTTCCTGGATCAGTTTCATGTTCTGGATCAGTATCACTTTTACTCATCCTTTCAATGAACCAGCTTTTGGCTTTGTTGAGTTTCTGTTTTTTGTCTTTTCATTAATTTCTGCTCCTATCTTTATCTTACCTGTTTTCTTTGGGTTTCATTTACTCTTTTATTCTAGCTTCTTGAATCTTAGATTATTGATCGTCAACAACAAACAAATAAAAAACCCTCTGCAACGGGGCCTAAACATCCTTGCAGAGCCAGCCTCGTGCATCTTCCTCATCCCTCGTGCCCTACTGTCCCATCCCGGCCTCCATGGCCGCCTTTGAACCCTGGACATTGGTCTCTGTTCTGTGCTCAAATGGTTCTCCTCCCAATTTTTACATGTATTTCTACTTTCCCCCCTGCCCTCTAGATATCTGAGGGTTAGCACTTTCACTTATCCACATCTTGTAGCTTTATTTTATATTTTATACATGTATTCAGTGTGTTCTCAACTTCAACTGTTATATCTTTTCACACTGGCACAGTGAAGCGTCAGTCAGCACTTGCGGAGCTGAAATGATGTGGGCGGGAGGGATACAGGGACAGGGCAGGGGGACTTTCACATTTTTAGACACTGACTCTGAACTGGACTCTTAACAACTATTTTCTCATTTATCTTCAAAAACTCTTTTTTTTTTTAAGAGAGGGGAAGGGAAGGAGAGAAAGGGAGAGCTACATCAGCCAATTGCCTCTACACATACCCTGACCGAGGATCAAACCTGCAACCTAGGCATGTGCCCTGACTAGGAATCAAACCCATGACATTTCGGTTTACAGGACAACATTCCAACCAATGGAGCCACAGTGGGCGGGGCAAAAAAGGCACGCAGATGATTACTGTTAACCTAAGAGGCTGCCAAACTGGGATTCCAGAGCGCCAAGTCTCAAAGCTGTGGGAGCTCCACCCTGTCTGCTGCATCAGCCAGCGAGTCCCTGGTCTTCTCATGAGTGCCCCCTGCTCCCCGGGCAGGGCTTCCCCACATTGTGGCCTGGAGCAGGCTCAGTTCTGGAAGACAAGACTGTGAGCGCAGCCAGCACCCCGGGAGGGGCCGCTGTGCCGGACACAGATGGATGGACCAGCTCTGTGGTTGACCTGTGACTTGGGGAGGGGTCTCCTCCAGCTGCTGCCAGACTGCTGCCTGCCAGCATTTCTCCACTCTCTGACCCAGTGAAGACCATTTGGAGGAGCTGACACTTGTAAGGTGAGATGTGCCTCTGGGTCTCGAACCATGCAGGGCCTTCCTGAGTGGACATCAAAAGGGATGCCTCGGAACGTCCTGCCATGGGTGCTGCTCCTCCAGTTACAAGCAGGCCTAAACCGAGCTTTCTGAGTGTCGAGGAAGTGGTCTATAAGATAAGGATGATGACGACGGTGACATTCGCCGTGCCTGCTTCACAGAACTGCCTGGCGTCTAATCTGTAACCTGCAAACCGCTTTGGACGCGTGGAGGTTGAACGGTACAACCATAATCCGAATGCACCATGCACGGCTTGTGCTAGCTGTGTGACTTGGAGTGGCTTTATTTTTGTCAAACTACAGATTAGTTTGTTGTGTATGTTTTCACCACAGGATGAGGGAATTAAAATGTCTTATTGACGTTTTATTGGGAAAATAGTTTTGGGGCGTGGATGATAACATTTTTTTAGTTGAGTTTATTGGAAAACACTTTCTCACAAACACTTTCAAATAGTGTTATAGTTCTGATGTCAGTGTTTTTTTTTTCCTATGAAATAAGAGGGTTTTTGTGGTTTTTTTGAGTGATTGAAGCTTCTGAGATTAAATGACTGGGTTAAGGTAGCAGGACCCCAATAAAGGGTAAAAGTAGCAACGACAAATTTCATTTTGTAATCTTTTTTTTAGCTGTGTGATTTTGGGCAACTTACTTTCAATGTTTGGTGCTTCTGTTTCCTTATAAGTTAAATGCATAACTTTGATTTAGGGAAAAGGGCTACACAGGATTTCGAAGCTGTGTTCTAACGCCACCTGCCAGCCATTGGGTAGCTCACAGAGATTAAGAGTTGCCTCCATAGGACGGAAAGAATTCCTCGGGCTCAAGCTTTTGGCCAACCCAGTCTCAGCCAGACTCCCCAGGGTCCCGAGGCTTGACCAGAGTACAGGTTTCCATGTGCACATCTGGCTATTTCATCCTTCTGCTTCTAACTCTCCCGGATACAAGTCAAATTCTTTAACGTGGCGGCTCGGGCCCCACGCTTTCTCTCTGGCCTCCTCCCTTGCCTTCCTCTCCTCCCGCTAGGCATTACCACGTGCACAGTCTGGGAACCTGACATACTCTCTGTCACCTCTGGTCGTTTGCACAGGCTCTGCCTGGTGAAAACAGGCCGTTCTGTTGAATAAAGGCACGAATTAATGAGTCAGACTGGAATCGTATCAGGCATAGTCTGATATGGCATAGTCTGACGCGGCATAGGCAGGCATACTCTTTTGGGCTTTTCAGGTTTCAAGCAGTCACCTCCAGCCCTGTGTAAAGGATTATTCCCCACCCGGTGCCAGCCAGAGCCCCGTCATGGTGGGCTGTATAATGAACTCATGGAGAAGGCTGTGGATGTCGTGGGTGTGACTTCCAGGCTATCGACACTGCTAAAAGAAGCAGACCCTGCTAGGATTGCTAACGCTGTCCCTGGTGAGATCCCACCCCATGTATCCGGAGTGCTTCACCCGGGCTGCAGGGGTGGGGGATGGGGCAGGTTGGGGGCTGAGTAACGCTGATCGGTCGGCAAAACGTTGCTTGTGCGCACGCATTTTCTCCCAGGTGCTCTGTGCCCCAGCCCCTCTCCTGCGTCTCCGGCGGGGCGGGGCATCGTTAGCCTGAGAGCCAGGTACAAAGCAGCCTGGATGCGGAGAGTCTATGCTCACAAGATATTAGTTCAGAAGAAGAACTTGGAGGCCACCCAGTTCAACCCACTCATTTCACAAGTGAGCAAACTGAGGCCTAGGGAGGTGACACAGCGGATGGACCAGAATCAGGACCCCCGGACTCCTGGTTCAGGGCCATCTCCACCCCTGTCCCCAGTCACTCCTGGAGTCTCCTGACACACCTGTCCACCCAGACAGGTGCAGCATGAGTAAGGAATGGGGAAGGGGAGGTGCCTGGGGTTAAAGGTCAGTGCCCTCACCCTGGTGCATGGCTGGCAGCTCAGAGGCTCTGGCAGTGGGCAGCACTCGGGGTTTCACGCTGATGCTGGAGGCCCCCAGCCGGAACCCGCTGGGCACCGGGTGCATGCTCCCTCTGGTGGCCAGTTTGAGCTGAGAGCCTGAATTGGGGGAAGAACAGACGGACAAGAATGGCAGAAGTCAGGTAACATTTAAAGGACAGGAGGAGGCCGTTGGAAGACTTCTAAATTGATACACTAGCCTGTCCTTAGAAATTTTGCTTTGAGATTCTTGGCAAAAGTGCAGGGGCTTTATATCAGAGGCTTTACCCTTGACTTCTAATGAAGGTGTCTAACCCACCCCAAGTTCCCTGGAGGTCATATTGTACAGACACATCTCTCTTAAACAAACCTCAGGCCTGTGGGGGTTAGAGGAGGAGGCCCATTTCCTTATTTTACAAGAGGGATTTTGGCCTGCTTAATCCACAATCTTCCAAAGTGAGGGCGTGCCAGATTAACATTGTTCCTGGTTGATGGAAACATCCGTATCCTGATTTCATGGGTGGTGCCTCCTCCACTCCGCCCCTCACTCACACTGCTAATCTCTTCCCCTCCCTGGAAGCTGTTCTTCCCCCTCAGAGGATTCTGCGCCCCCCCCCCCCCAAGGAGGTACAGATGGAAGCTGAGGTTTTGGCTTTCCCGGGGACCTCCCCCCAGTCAGGTGCTGACCGCCCTGGAGACCGCTGCCACCCCGAGGGTCAGTTTCCAGCCTGAGGTCCCCGCCATGGGCTCGATTGTTCTCTCTAGATTTAAACAACGGAAGGCACCCCCCTCTCCCTCTGGATCACAGAGATGGAGAGGCTGGGCTTTGAGTATGCCATCTTCCACTGTGACTCGGAGGAGAAGGGTATCTGCTTGCTCCAGCCTGGCGCCCCCCCTCTCCTCCAATGGGCTGCCTGGGCGAGGCTCAGAGCACCACTGCAGCCTGCAGCTCAGATGGGCTTTTCCTGGTCAAGGAGCAGGGAGGAGGGGAGACACCAGTGGGTGGGGCCCTGCTGCCTCTAGCAGGTTCCTGGTTACTGCAGCCCAGGGGAACGTAAGCCTCATTCCACTGGCTTCCCGGGCAGGGTGGCTCTGTCAGCCCCTTAGCCACCCCCCTGAGGTATGACCTGTCCCCGTGAGGGAATTCTTCCTGATCCTCCACCTCCTCCATGGTGGTGGAATAAGCACCTTTAGAAGGTGGACATTAAAAGGGTGGAGGGTGGTGGTTATTGTTGCTCAGTGACTAGTATATGCCAGAGCCTGTACCAGGACCTTTGGCTAAGTTAATTTAATGCTAAAAAGAATTCTTAGAAGGAGATCATCCTTTTTCCTAGCTTACAGATACAGGAACAGATGTCCCAAGTGGGAATGTGACTAGAGTCACATGGATAGAAATGTGGGGTTCATGGTGGGTCTCTGGGCATGCAAAGCCCATCCTGTTTTTACGGCATCATTTCATTTCCACCTGAGACTAACCCAGGAGGATACCCATGCCTCCCCAGAAGCTGAGATCCCGGCCAGCGGAGGGGTGGAGGGCTGCTCCTGCCGCCGGGAATAGCTCACTCCCTTCTAAGCAGGTGCTACTTGAATCACACAGTGTTGCTGTCTCCCGCTTCCATCCGTTGCTCTCACTTCTCTGCTCCACGCTGGGTGATGCCAGAATCGGGTCCTGGACCGCTGGGACCCTTCAGCTGTTCGCCTCGCCAGCACCTGGTCATGTGCAGCGGAGACCTGGGAGATGCTTTCTTTCTCTCTCTCCGCTTGTCTGGTCCTGCAGGATTATCCATGGTGGTGCTCTGGGAACCACGAGAGACACTGTTACAGAACAGACAAGGGGGGCCTGAGACAGTATACTACTATTGAAAGAAGGCCCCGGGTCCGTTATGTCCGCCGCCAGAGGAAAGACGTCTCTCAATGCCAGAGATTCGTGAAAAGGAAAGGAAATGTTTATTTATTGCTATGCTAACTTAAAGTAGTGACCTAATGTCTTTATCAAAAATCCTAAAGTCCCTAAAAACACCCACAAACACGCAGTCCTTCCTTCCTTCCCCCTTTGCCCAGTCCAGAGTACCGTATCTCAGGAAAGGAAATAGAAGTCCACGGCTCAGGCAGTCCTCTGGTTCTTTCCAGTTAGTACTCCATCTCGACTGGGAGACCTCCCTGGGTTCCCGGCACCCTCTGCTGAGTCGCCGGGATCTCTGCTAAAACCAGGTGTAGGTTCCCCCTTCTAAAGCTGTGCATGGCTCTCCTTCTCAGGGCTGCGCATGGCTCTCCTTCCTAAAGCAGCATGGTTCTCCTCCTCTCAATGGCCGAGGTCCTCCCCATTCTGCTAAAGCCGCATGGTTCTCCCTCTCTCAGGGATGCGGGAGTCTTCAGTCTGCTAAAGCTGTGTGGCTCTCTCTACAATGGCCGTGATCCTCCCTGCACCTCCACAGCCACATGGTTCTCCTCCTCAGGGCTGTGCATGGCTCTCCTTCTCAGGGCTGCGCATGGCTCTCCCCACTAAAGCACCACGGTTCTCTCTCTCCAATGGCCGCCAAGTCTGGGTTTTAAGTCCCCGCAGCCAATCTTCCTCTGCAGCCTCATTTCTGACTCCTCCCACACTCGGCTTCACTTGCCAGAATTCATATCCTTCCAGCTTTACTGGGCTGCCATCATGAGTCTGGGCAGGTGTGGCCCCATGTCCTGGAGCCAATCTTCTCCGAGCTCCCACGCAGGCGCTGTAGCTTAGGGGATCTGCCCCCAGTCACGTCTTGGTGGGGAAGTTACTTCCATTCCCCCGGCTCAGAGATGATCACAGCTATTTAACATATCTAAGCGACCAGCCAAAGGCTATAGATATGTTAAATGACCATACCAGAGGGTAGCTGCAAGGCTGTTGCTATGCAAAACAGATCTCAATGGCCTTGCTCCATTTGTCCCTTCCCCCCAACCCACACCCTGGGTGGGGGGATGGAGACATCTTAAAATCTCCTGGACACCTTAAGTTCTGGACCCCATTTCAAATGTCCATTTGGGGTCCCCCCTCTTGGCTGCACCCTGTAACAACACCACATTATCATGGCGGTGTACCACAATGCCAGTGTAGCCTTTGCAGGGACTGTGACCATCACCTTCAAGACGTCTGTTTCCTCGCCTGGGTTCAAGTCAGGAGTAAGCTGGTGTGGGGTTAGTCCGCGTGTCGTGATGGAAAGTGAGGGCTTACCCACGCAGCGGTCCTGACTGCGAAGAGAAGTTTCTCCTTTTGCATTTCTCATGGACCAGTCTAAACTTCACAGATGCTCCTTCTCCATCCAAGGACAAGGAAACAAGCCGGGAGACGGGTTATGCATTCAAACATAGCAAGACTCTATCTAGAATGTTGATGAGCTATTTTGGGCCACCACTGATCTAGAGAAAGCCAACCAATATGCCTGTAAATATTTAACTCAGTCCACAAATGATCATTGAGCCCCCACTGCACTGATAATTTTTATATTTGATTGGCCTCTTACTAAACATGGCCTCTTACTGAGATGAATACACAGCTGGACGGTGACAAAGTCATGGTCAAATGTAGAACTCGCAGTCTGATTCGGAAGTCCTTTCATTTTTGCACCCCGCCACTCTGCCTCGGTGGGCTCTCCAGGACGCACCAGGAAGAGCAGACACAGCCTCTGCCTTCCAAGGTGGGGGTTGGGGGAAGCAAGGTGTAACAGTTTGCCAGAGGGGAAAAAATCGTATTAATTAATTTAGCTATTGTAATAGCTATTATATATAATATCAATATAGTAAGATAGATAGATAGATAGATAGTTATTTCAATGAGTCGGCTTATGCAGTTGTGGAGACTGGCAAGTCCAAACTGCAAGGGGCCGACCATCAGGACAGAAACTCTTGGGCAGGAACCAAAGACACAGACTTGGAGCAGGGAAGCCTCAATGTTGTTCTTAAAGCCTTTTGGCTGATTAGATTAGGCCTACTCAGATTATTGAAGAGGATCTCCTTCACCCAGCGTGAACTGATTGTAGCTGTTGATGCAGATACAAAATACCTTCACAGCAACTCCCGGGTGAGTGTTGAGCGAATAACTGGGGATTGTAGCCTCATCGCGATGACACATAAAAGACACACCCAGGGACGCCTGTTTCCAGATGGAGCTCTCCTGCCGAAGATGAAGAATGTTGCATCCAGCAAACGTGAGAACAAATGTCGGAGACTTTCAGGGTATCAAGGATGTTACTTTATTGGCCAAGTTTAACCTGGGCAGGGGCGAACTCTCAGAGTGTCCAGAGACATGGTACCCACAAGGGGCTGCAAACGAGAGACGCGCCGAGCACTTCAGCTAAGTCCTTATATAGGGGCGGGCAAGCAAGCGTTATACAGAAGCAGACGTGGCAGTTAGCAGTTCACTTACAAAGACCACGCGCGGGAATTTCAAACCAAGCATTCTTGCATAAGGCGGGAAGGCAGGATGTTTGTTCAGTAACCTAGTAATCTCCTGGCTCTAGCTAGCTAGGTTCCTATTTTCTCATGGTCTAAGTTTTTCCCTACTCCTTACAAAGAAAACCTCCCTTGTGTGGACATGTAACAGTTGGGGATTGTAATCCACTCCACCGTTCTTTTGACATTATTTCTGTAGATGTCGACTCCGACAAATATGTAGCTTGTAGATACACAGTGCGTTTGTATAAGAATCCTTCAAGAAACACAGACTTGAACCTTCAGTCCTCCTAGCTCTAGGAGAGTTGTGGACCTGCAGTCACAAAAGCAGGACGAGGTAAAACAAGGAAGACGAAAACGAGGATGATGCACACCAGACCACCCCTTCACCGATTTCGAGGTTCTTATCAGACTGGACTGTGCTGGTCTGCACATAGGGAACTGTTCACCCCCGGCCCCTCCACCTCTTTGTTCTGCTTCCCCTCTCCCTGCTCAGGAAACCCTCTGCCTGCACTGAGACGTGAAGATGGGCCTTAAGGCAAGAGTCCCCTCGTCTTCTCAGCCTGCTGGCCTCTGAATAAATTAGCCTCTTTCCCACTCACGAGTTTGGCTGGCTTGCGGCAGGCACCCGGACCTGCCCTGTGTTCAGCTGCAGGAAGGGCGACTGGATGTCAGTCCAACTGCAAGTTGGTCCTGCTCACACCTGAGGGCAATTCAAACTGGTCGGGAACTGGGAGAAGAGTGCTCAGAAAGCACGTGCTTACCTTCATGAACTTTCAGCCAAATCGCAGCCTGTGTTTCCTCACTGGAAAAGCGGCAGGTGTTGGGAACCGCCTTGCCTGGTATCAGAAGCTGTAACCCCACCTAGGCTAAGGCTAAGGGAATGCCCTTGGAACCGTAAGCCAGCAAGGAGACAAGCTTATCTCCCTGACAGGAGCGCTGCTTCTGCTCCTTCATACCTCACCCTGCCTGGACCCCAGTGCTTGGTCGGTTCGCCAATGACGGGTAAGATTCCCCAAGGGGGGAACGACCTAAGACAGGCACGATCACGTGAGAGGCCCCCAAAAGAAGGACTTTGGAGGCTACGGCAAAAGGGGGTGATGGACTCTCGCCCTTTGGCTTTGACAAAGCCCAAGTCCTCCTGCTCTGCAAGAAAATCTCTTAATCTCTCGGCTGCCTTACTTCCCTTGCTCCACCTAAGCCTGAAACAATGACAGGGTGGTGCCCCCCTGTGCTGGAAAGGGCGGATTCCCTGGGTGATCAGGCCTAAGAAAGAACATGTAAATTCCTGTGAAACCTTCTTTGTTTAGAATGCTCTCAGTTGAATGAGAAGGGTCCAAGGAGGAAGTTAGTTTGTTCCTTAAAGTCTTACAACTCTGACCCTGACTCAAAATAGACCCTCAGAGTTCCTTGTTACCTATCATTTGATCCTTACTTCCTCGAAATGAGTAATGTGCTTTACCTGAATTCTTATGCAAAACGAACCCAATAAATGCCTGTTTGGAAGGTAAATCAGCGCCCTCCCCACTAGAGGGGGTGGCCATTCCATCCCTACTTTTCCACAGAAACTGGTCTGTCTCTGTGCATGTTTTTTCTCGCATTTCGACGAGCCATCCGCAGCGTTCCATGATCACTGCTGACCGGTGACCCACGCTTCAGGCAGGAACACTTGAGAAGCTTAGTTTTTAGATTTTTTATGGTTTTCTCTCTTGACAACCATAATCTTAGCCATCTAAACAGACAAACGCTGTCCAATAAGAAATGTAGTGCAAGCTGCCTGTGTAATTTTAAGTGTTCTAGTAGCCAGATTAAAAAAGTAAAAAGAAAGAGGTAAAATTAATCTTAATAATATGTTACACCTAACCTCAACAGTCCAAAACATTATTATTTCAACAGGTAAAATATACAAATTATTAATACAATATTTTATTTTGCCTAATTAATACAAGTCTTAGACATCGGGTGTGTGGGTAATTTACAGCATGTTCAATTATGATCCTCACTTTTTTTCAGTGCTTAAAGAGAAATGTCAGTCTGCCAATACTAAATAAGTCGTCTTTAACAGAAAAGTATTCCACACAGCTTCAGTTTTTAATATAAAGTAAAACAAAATAAAAAATTCAGTTCTTCAGTCATAATAGACACATTTCAAGTGTTTAAGAGCCACAGAGAGCTGCTGGCTATCTGTATCTCGACTGTAAATGCGCCTACTTTGCCCCCAAAACAAAATTCGCCCCAGAACAGTCGCCTACGGTCCAGGCGCAGGGAAACAGCGGATCCTGCAGTTCCGGATGTCTTCACCAGGCGGCACTAAAGAGCACGCCCTCAACTGCTCCAGACCTGCGTCCGACCCCGGAAGTTAAATCCCACGGTTCTATCTAGTTCCTCCAGCTTTCTCCACGCCTCCGATACATTTAGCCTAAGCTTCTCCAGTCCTGAAGTCTGGGCAGAATGTGCCGGAGACCAGAGCAGCGGTGTCTGCCGAACTAGTGAAAAGCCGCAAGCAGTTCCTGGGTGCAGGTTCGTAAGGCACGCCGGAGCCACGCACGCAGCCCCCGACCGCACAGGTCCCGACACCGACGGGCAGACGGTGGAGAGCACAGCTACCGTCACCGCGTTGCTTTCTCCAAAGTCGCCAGGGCGGGGCCTGAGCTCCCGCCGACGGGCCTCTGAGCCCAGTGCACTCAACAGGCCTCCTCCAATGATTCAAAATTCAAGCCCGGCGCTGCTGCAACCTCAAGATGTCGGAGACAGGATGGAAACGTTTATGGTAAACTGCGGGAAAGGGTGGCAGGGGTTTCAGGTCTGCCGGCTCGGGGAAGTTGCCAAGGGTCAGCGGCCCGCGTGCAGCCATTCCCGCGCCCTGGATGCGCGTAGAGTTGGGGACTTGGCGGGGAAGGAGGAAGAAGAGGGGGTTGCAGCCCATCGCTTAGGGCAGAAGAGCAAAGGTCTCGCTGCTGCAGTGTTATCTGGGTGGAGATGGGCGAAACTGATGGGGCCTTGGGGGATTTCGGGGTAATGTTCCCGTGAGGCCCCGAACGAGGTGCGAGCGCTGCTGAACTTTGCTTAGGGTTGGGTGCCTGGAGTGACAGGTGGAAGGACACCCGGGTAGATAGTTGGGCCATCGAAAGCCCGGTAATAGCCCCAAGCCGGAGACGTTGGGGTCGTCACGTGTTGGGAGAGAGGGCACTTTTGGGATTTCAGCCCCCAGCGGGTCGGGAAAGGGCGCGGTTAGCAGGCTGGGGATCAGAGCAGGCTGCGGGTGCCGCGAGGCCACGCCCCCAGGCGTCCAGGTTGGCTGCAGGAGTCGAGCCGCCGGGCCGCTATTGGTGGAGGTGGGGGCGGGGCTGGGCAGGTGCGCCTAGGAGGGCTGTTGGGCGGAGTTGCGGCTGGTGGTGGGTGGAGCCCGCAATGTGGCTTGGCCTTGGCCTCGGGCTCCGGGGCCTTGGGACAGCAGCACCTCTCCCTGGGAAGTCTGAGTTCGGAGGCACTTTCGCTGGTGGCGGTGTGCGGATTTTTTTTTTTTAAGCCTTAAAAAAAGGCGGCGGCAGCTATGTTTGTTTACATCTTTGAAAACGTGGTTACCTATTTATCTTTCTAGACCTTCCAGCTTGGCCACGAGATTTACTGTATCATCTATTTTAATCCTTACCCAAGGATACGTTTTGATTGATTTTTGGAGGGTGGAAGGAGAGAAACATCATCTATTGCTTGCCTCTTTTTGGGGTCCCCACCGGGGATGGAACTTGCAACGTAGGTATGTGCCCTGACCCAATCGAACCCACAACCTTTTGGTATGTGGGACAATGCTCCAGCCAACTGAGCCACTGGCCTGGGCACAGTTTATTTTTTTCAAAGGGATGTAAAAATTGCCAGTCCTCTCTCCCTCCAGATTGCTCTATGGGCATGGACTGTCATGAAGGCATACTTGGAGTGTGTGTATGTTAACCTTCTCTCCTTGGGACAGCATTAAAGCTCTTGTGAGGGCTGTTAGTGCAGCCTTTTGTGCTGCGGTTCCTGGTGCAAGGGCTTGGGCTTCTGTTACTTTGTCTGTGGTGACTACTGCATGCCCAGCTCACCACTGGCCGCTGTCCATGTGACTGCATCCCTGTGTATACAGCTGCCAGTCTGGTGCCGCTAGTGCACAGTCCAGCAGATCTGGCCTGCTGGAATAAACCTGGTCAATAATTTCCAAGCACTCATGGTGAAGGGCTGAGTCCTCCCCCTTATCTGGGAGTAGGGTGGCAGGGTTCAGGGTTGTGGTGGTTTGCAAGGTAACGCTTGGATTGTTTGGCAGAATGGCCTGGTGTTTCTTCTCCACACACCAGTTGTGAGCAAATACCCTCCTTTCTGTTCCAATTGAGTCAGGCCCTGTGTGGTACCAACACTGTAGTGGGCTGTCCCAAGGTAAACTTCTCAGCTTCCTGTATGCTGTCACAGGTAGCTGCTACTGCCTGGAGACATGGCGGCCTCCTGTAGTTGTGTGATCCAGCTTCTTTGAGAGTAGGTTGTGGGTTACGGTATATTTCCTAAAGTCTGGGTTAGCATCCGCAGTCCAATTCCCTGCCTTTTGTGAACATACAATTTGAAAGGCAGGAAACGGGCAGTAAATCGGGCAGTCCTAGTGCAGGGGCCAAAACCAGCTTTTCCTTCAAGGTATCACATGCTACCTGACAATCCCCTGTCCATTCGAAGGGTTCAGAGTCCTGTCCTTTCAAGGAATTCTATGGTGGCTTTGTTATGAGTCCAAAGTTTGGAGTCCAAATTCAACAAAACCCTGTAATTCCTAGGAACCCACGAAGCTGCCTTCGGTTCTCTGGGATTTTTAATGCGGCAGTGGGTTGCTTTCTGTCTACCCTTTAGGCTCCTGGTACCCTGTTTTAGTTGAAATCCCGGATAAGCTACTTCCTATTTGCAAATCTGGACCTACTTCCTGTTTGCAAAGCTGGGCCCTATGAGATGACCCCTTATATCCTGTTTTTTGCTAAATGAAACAGGACTGTGATGGTGTTGTGCAATCCTCATAGTTGCTGCTGGCTATAGATGATCTACATATTGCAAAAGAACTGATTTCAGCTGAACATCCCTCAAGTCTCTTGCCAACACTTCCCTAATATCCTTGGGGAGTTCTTAGATCCTTATGGCAGCACGGTCCAGCGGTATTGGAGTATGGCTGTAGTTTCTGGGTTCTGCCGTTCAAAGGCAAACGGTAGCTGAGCCTGTTCATCTACTGGGGTGCGGAAAAAGGCATCCTTCAAGTCCAGGACTGAAAGCCATTTGCTGTACCCAGGCTCCATGGTCAACAGGGTGTAAAGACTGGGCACTGTAGGATGAATGTCCTGAACAAGGTCACTTAGGGCCCTGAGATCCTGTACAAACCGATATTCATCAGAGTGTGGCTTTTCGACTGGCAGAATGGGGGTGTTGCAGGGTGACTGGCATGGCTGAGTTAATCCCGATTCTAAAAACTTCTGCAACACTGGCTGGATCCCCTCTAAAGTCTCCTTCTTGAGGAAATACAGCTTCATTCATGGGACCCGTGCCCCCTCTTTTAGATTTATCTTTATAGACTGAATGTTAACTGCTTTACCAGGGGTTCCATCAGCCCAAAGAGTTCAATCGACCTGCTGGCAGATCTCAGGTGGGAAGGGCTCACCTCTGGGGCCTGCTGGACAGGTCAGAAACACCTGTAGCCGGAGGGCATCTTCCAGTGCAACCTCCACACGTAACCTGTGCTTCTCTGGAGAAAAGGTTATTTGTGCCTGCAGTTTACAAAGTAAATCTCAGCCCAGCAATGGAATGAGACAATCTGGCATAGAGAGAAAACTATGTGTAAGCTTCTGATCCCCAAGCTGGCATTCCAGAGGTTGTAGCTGGCCAGTCACTCCAGTGACCATTACTTCCTTTGAACTTTTCTTGGTTAGTTGTGTGTTAAATACTGAGTATGTAGCTCCCATATCTACCAGGAAATCAATGGGCTTGTTCCACACAGTAAGTTGTACCCCGGGGCTCCTCTGGAGAAACAGTAATAGGTCAGGAGACGTCCATTGGAGCCCTGGGCCTCCTCATTCATCATCACCCCCCATTCTCCTTTTTAGCATTGTTGTTCTGCTGGGATGCTCGTCTCTGTCTTCCCTTCTGTGATGCAGGTGCTCATCCCTCCAGCGGCCCTCCTCCCTGCAGTGGGCACAGCGGTCTGTGCCTACAGAGCCTTCCCTCTCCTCTGCGGGCCCTCCTTGCCCCCGTCACAGTGGTGGGCGCCTACCTACCGAGTCTCTTCTCTCCTTTAGGGCCCCGATTCTTCTTTTGGCCTCCCCCGCCTGCTCCTAAAAGCACCGGGGCCTGGTTTGTCTTCCCTGTTTCCCGGGCACTGTGAACTTCAAATGCTGTGTCCACCAGCTGAGAGGGACTCATTACCAGTGCCCCACCTACACACTGGAATTCCCTTCTAATATCCGGGGCACTCTGCCCAAGAAAAGTCATGTTTGTCGTTCTCACTTTCTCTGGTGCCTCTGGGTCAGCGTCAGGGTGCTTCCTAAGAGCCCGACAGGTCCTCTCTGAAAACACAGAAGGACCCTCTTCGGGCCTTGGCTGAAGAGTGTGCCAAATGCAGGCTGCTCTGCTGGGGTGCTCCTTTTCTAAGTCCTTCCATCATTCACCCTTTGTGAGGGTTCAGTGAGGCGTGGGTCCCGCAATTATTTGGGTCCCAGTTAGGCTGCACCACAGGAATTGCCCCAACTGGGTAGCAGTCCCAGAGCAATCGTCATCACAGAGACACCGGGCCTCTGCCCTTGCCATATTTATAACCAGCCGTTTCTCATCTGTAAGCAGCACAACATTTGCATCTGTACATCTGCCCAGGTTGGAAGATGAATGGCAAAAATAGAGGTGACAAGATGATCTACCATTCTCTGAGGATCATCCCTACCTGGGGCGGGTGTGGTGCAGAACTCCTCCAGTTCAGTACGGCTGCAGTGGAGGAGAGTGGAGTATGGGCCTGATAGTAGCCAGCGGGCTGGCCTTCCTGAGTTACTCCGCCTGTAGGATATTGCCTCAAAGGGAATTGGCTTGCTCTGAATGGGGAGGCCCCCTGGCTCTACCGGGTGACTTGCCCCGCCTGGTGAGACCCACTCTACATCCTGAAGGGGTGGATGGAGCCGTTGGCTTTGCGGTGGCCACTTCAGGGGCAGTTCCCCAAAGGCCCATGGCAAGGAAGCCGCTCCTGCCTCTGAGCCTCTGTCCCCTGGGTTCAGAGCACTAATGAGGTTTATTTCCTCATTATCCCTTTTACCATCAGGGAGGGGTTTTGAGGCCCCCTTCCTTTTCTGTGCCACCGAGTGACGCTCCGTCTCCGACAAACACGCCTTTAGGCAAAGATACACATTCATGGAGAGAGCAGAGCTCCCCCCACTTTTCCGACTGTTGGCAACGCTGTTTCGGTTGCTTAAATGATGCAGCAACTCAGGGAACCACCCACGGCCCCCTTTCCTCACCATTCAAAACAGACTTAGGCCAAAAGTAATAAATCAATGTCTCCTCAGACGTGGGATTCTTAAGCATTGGATTACAGCTGTAAATCTTCCAATGCTCTTAAGATTCTACCCAGCGGGCTCCCCCTAGGGGCCAGCCCAGAACTGCTCTTACTGTTCCCGCCGCACATGCAAAAAGCTGTAAAAGGAAAATACAGACCAGCTAGAGGCCGCATACACCCCAAACGTGCCCACAACTTCAATTCCATTATTCCAAAACCGTGCTCAGAAACAAATTTTC